CACTTGGGCTTTTGCTGGGGATCCCATAGCTGCTGGAGAGCTGGAGCAGGGCTGTGGAGCCAGCCCTGGAACCCAGAATCCTAGGCCTGTAGTCTCCCCATCCCCCGGCCCTCCTGTCCTCTGTATGAGCTCGCTTTCAGGTCAACCTGGTACTATCAGGGTTCAGCCTGGCTGGCCTGAAAATTGAGAGATGGGTGCCATAGTGGGTCTGGAGCAGGAGGTGGACAGACCTGTGACTGAGTCCTGTCTTGCTACCCCTGGCGGGGGTCTTGGGCAAGTCATGTCTATCCCTGAGCCCCCACTTCCTCATCTCAGAAATGGGCATCATCCCCCCTCTGCCCACCTTTGCCATGAGACTCCATAATGGTGTGGGTAAAAATCCCTCTAAAGACCATCAGGAACTGGCGCCGAAGAATTTGCCATGTCACTCTCTGGGGTACCTCTGTGCCTCTGCCACTCAGACCATGTCTGGTACAGAGTAACTGCTTAGTCGGTGTTGAATAAAGGAGTGATCATAGTTAGCATTTATTATAATTGGTATTAATGATAATATTCACATTAATGATGAGCTACTTACTACATACCAAGCATCACCCAGGGAAATTCCCATAAGGTGCCTTAATCCTCGTAGTCACCCCAGGAATTTAGGTATGGCCATTTTCCAGATAAGGAAGCTAAGGCTCAAAAATTGAAATTACTGACCTCAGGTCTCATGGCAAATGGTGGAAGAAGTCAGGATTCACACCTGACTCTTAAACCCATGTGTCTCCACATGCTCATGATGGTCCACTGGGTCACCCCTCCCTAGGTTATGCTGGTGAGTATTTAACAATTCCAGGACAAGGGGGATTTGTACACACCTATGATTTGTCCCATTTGCCGATTTCCGTAGTGTAAATGTTCCTGCTACACCTGGTTTCAAGCAACCAGTGTGCTTCAGCTATCTCACAAAATTCCTGAAAATGTAACAAGCAGCTCCCACGAGCCAGTAGCAGCCGGCTCAGTACACCTCTGTCTCTTCCCCTTTTGCACAGCCCCCCGGACAGCTGTGGCTTTAGGAGTGTTCCAAGGGCTGAAACAGCAGCCTGGAACTAAACCAATGGCTAGGGTGAGGATAGCTGTGCCTCTCGACCCCTTGGCCCTGCCCAGCAGAGGCCCTAAGCCCCCTGGGGTCTCAGCATCACACGAAGACTTGGTCAGATGGCTAGGACCCGAGTACAGGCCTACAGCACTGCATGTGGAGTGTTAAGGTCTGCCAGCCCCGCTGTGTGTGATATTCCTGCCAGGCCTGGAGCTGAGCCCTGTAAATGCCGGGATATAATGGACAATAAAAGTCGCTGGAAAATAGTGACTCTCCTAGGACTACTGTCATCCCTGCCACATGCCGCCTGCCGGAACCACGAGCCCTGTGATCATGAGGCACAATCGTCATGTAAATATATAGGATCTCTCGCCAGCCGTGGGCTAAGATTTATTTTATGGAGACAGAAGGGGGAAGGGAGCCAACTAAGGTTCGTTGTCCCTCCCGGTAACTTTGTAAAATGCTTTGCCATCACTTCCCAGCTTTGGGGAGGATGCAGCAGGAGCCGGTGTGGCCTCTTCTGAAAGGGGTATCCCCAGAGGCCCTGGACACTTGCTGGCATGTCCACAGGCCATGGACCTGGTAGCCACAGTGTCGGGGTCCTCTGGAAAGTGGGCTGCCAAAAATGTTTGTTGCTATTGAATGAGTGCTGGTTGTACATGATAACAGTCATCAAAAGAGGAGCAGGAACCACATTTATTAAGCTCTAGTGATTATCTGGGCCCTGATAGTCCTGGGCTTATATTTACCTGCATATAAAATACCTCATTTGGCCCTTACAACAACCTACAAGGTGAGTCCTCCCACAACCGCCGGTTTATAGAGGAGAGAACTGCAGAGAGATGACCGTGAGACTGGCCTAGGCAGCACAGGATTTGCACTCGAGGCTCCAGAGCCTTTGCTGGCTGCCTCTCCACCTCCTCGCTGCCTGACCCACTATTCCCAGATCAAGGGCACCACCTCCCTGGAGCCTTCTGTATTGTCCCGGGTTAGAATCAGCGGCCCCTTCTTTTGTAATCCTGCAACACAGTTAAGCACTTTGATTGGTATACCCGCCCCACCCCCACCCCATTTGCTTCTTTGCTAAGGGTAGGAGCTTCTGGACACCTGTACAGAGTGTTCGGGTGAGGTCTCAGGCCTGCATTCTCATCTAAGCCTACCTCTTCCAGCAAGTCACAGGACTCCCTCTGAGCCTCAGTTTCCTCATCTGTCAAATGGATACACTGCCTTACAGACTTGCTTTGAGAGCACACAAGTTGCCATTATCCCTGAAGGATCTGGCCCAGCATTTAGCGGTGCTCTGTGTGTGACCTTCCATGCACACACCACCTCCTGAAGGCATCTGAGCCACGGCCTCTTGTGGCTGTGCCTTACCATGCATGGGGAGGGTCGTGTGCTGGAGGACTCAAAAGTGTCCCAGGGCCATAGGACAGATCGCCTTAACAACTCCAGATGCAGAAGTCTGGTTTTCTGGTGCCCAGAAATGAGCACATGATGAGATGCAGGATCCCCAAGCCTCATTTCAGAGCACCCCAGTGAGCCACAGGTCCTCCATAAGCCCACAAAAACAGCAGTAGGTGCAGGGCCTTTCCACACAAGCATGGGAGTCCAACCCACCCATGTTGTAGGTAGGGAAACTGAGGCCCAGAGACAGGCTATGGCTTTCCTAAGACCTTGCAACCCTGTGAGAGTTCAGGCCGTGTAAATCCTGGGCCACTATGCCCCATGTGCCATGGCTCAGAACAAAAGTCACTCCGTGGAGTTAAAAATGCCCATGTAGCCGGGCTCGGTGGCTCAGCCTGTAATCCCGCGCCTTTGGGAGGCTGAGGTGAGTGGATTGCCTGAGCCCGCAGGTTCGAGACCCGCCTGGGCAGCGAGACCTCATCTCTACAATAAATCAAAAAATCAGCCAGGCATGGTAGCGCGCGCCTGTAATTCCGGCTACTCGGAAGGCTGAGGCGGAAGGATCGCCGGAGCCCAGCAGGTCGAGGCTGCGGTGGCCGGAAGCGGCCACTGCACTCCAGTCTGGGCGACTGAGTGAGACTCCAACTCAAAAAAAAAAAAAAAAAATGCCCATGTACTTCCCAGGCCCCACTCTGGGTTCCACAAGGATCCTGCTAGGAGAGCAACACAGGAAGGTGCAGAGTTGCCACAGTGTGGCCCTGGAAGCTGTGTAGATGTGCCAGCCCCTGACTCTGGATGCTGGGACTTAGTGTAGATGCTGGTGCCCAGATGCACCAAGTTGTGCTCAGCTGCATGTGCTGGAGACTGCTGGGGGGTTGTGGAGACTCTCGTTAGACCCCAGCCCAGCCTGTTGGGGCCTTCTCTGTGAATTGCGGTGGGTGACGCCCACCAGTAGGACTGTGGGGGACATGGGTCCAGCCCAGAGGATCCGGGGCTGCCAAGGGGGCTGGTACCTGGCCTGTGCCCGGCAGTTGGGCCCGGTCAATGCGGAAGGTGGGTGGCAGGTGGCCGAACCTCAATGCCAGCATCTCACTTGGTGCATCCTCTGGGGCCTAGCTGCCACATGCCTTGTCAGTCTCTGTAGTGGTGGAGCTGCAGATGAGGCCCGGAGGTGCTTTGCCCAGGGTAGAGGTGGCTCGTGTTCTAAGGTGAAGGCAGATACTGGCCACAGGACGCTCTCCTCCCCAGACAGGGAGATCTGTCCAGCCCCCTTGCCCTCCATTCCACTGTGTCCTCTGCCAGGAATACCTTTCTTCTCTGGACCAAATCCTTCCCATCCTCTGAGCCGCCTTGGGCTCCACTTGTTGTGAGAAGCTGTTACAACCTGACCTTCTCCCAGGAACTTCCATTCCCCTTTCTGACATGTGAATTCTGCTCAGATGCTCTCTCCTGGGAACCCTGTGAGAGCAGGAGCTTCGTCTGAGTTATGGGATCCCCAATCATCACCCAGGCTCTATGTGGAGAAGGCAGCTGGAAGGAAGGGAAGGCAGGAATGCTTGGAGTCATCCATTCCTGATCCACATCCCTATTTTTGGAGTGCAAAGGACTGACAAGGATGTCATAATAATCAAACAATAACCCCTCTGATGGGGTGTCTGTTTTGTGCTAGGCCTGGTGCTGAGCACTTTTAACTTGTGTGATGTCATGTTACCTGCCAGCAACCTGGGTAGCAGATAGTACTCTTGTCCCTGCTATACCCTGAGAACACAGGCAACCTGGATGGGGCAAAGCCAGGACTCTAACCCAAGACTGCTGCCTGCCAGCATCTCTCCTGGGTAACCAGTGTCTTTGGCCCAGCTTATAGCAGAGAGAATAGAAAGGGTTAAGCTTTTAAAGGAACAGCAAGACTTTTTATGCTTCTTAGCATTTGCTGGGCCCCAGTGGGCATGGGTGGGGAATGGCACATGAGGGTCAAGGGACCCTCCTGGTTTAAGGAGGACTGGTTTAATCAAGTGTCTGCTGTCTAGGCACCTGGTTCAGATGAGGGTGGGGTCTGATAGAGTTTGGGAGTGAATGGCTTCCCTGAGCAGTATGGGTGTGGGGTCAGTTAAAGAGGTCCGACTCCCACCAGGTCTGTCATTGCATGCCCACAGCCCTGGGCTAGCTTTTGCCTTCCTGCCTCAGTTTCCTGGTGGCTGGGACTGGGTAACTCTTACTGTGTTCCAAGCTGCACTGGCTCCAAGACCATTGGGCGGTCACTGCCATCAGATTCTAGTCCTTGGTGAGCTCTGTGGTGTCTGTGACAAGTTCCATTCTCCCTGGAGGTGGCGGCCGGAGCTATTTTTGGAGCAGCATGTGGTGGGGGAGTTTCCTTTTGGCGGTGTCTGGGGACCAGAGTCTTGGGAAGGGGAAGTCCCGTACAGAGACAGAGCCCTCTGCCTTCAGCCACCCTGGTCCAGAGAGGCCACCCAGCTTGCCGGAGGCCCCAGCATCTCACGTCCACCCTTAGCCTGGAGCTTCTCAGGAGCCACTTGGAGAGGTATGGACCAGGCTTTCCCTGCCTCCTACTGAGGAATTGCTAGCTCCTTCCTGCCACCTGGTTCTGGCAACTTTGCTTTCAGGGGTGTGTCCAGCAAGTGACAGGGAGCCAGGACCGAGAGACCTCCAGGGTCTGGGCCCCAGAATCCCTGACCTAGCTGCACCTCACTCAACCACCTGCATGGGTTCTGCCATCAGCCTGGCAGGACCTTTGCCACCATCCTGGAGTGGGGTGGTCTTGATGGTAGGTTTCACGTTGAGTAATCCCCAGACTTGGCCAGAACGCCTAAAGTTTCTAGAGAAGCAGAAAAAAACTGTTATCTCTCTGGGGTTGGTTTTGGCTGCGGGAAGGAGAGAAAATTAGGGGAGGCCAGAGGCTCAACAGCTTGCTCTGTGTTGAGGCCACCAGGTGGGATTAGGATGCTCTCCTGGGACCCAGGGCAAATATTTTACAAACACAGAAGACCCCAGTCTGCCAGGAGCAGGTCCACTGGTTTCCTCCTTCCACAGTTGGTTAGTAAGTGGTAGCCGTGGTCTGAGACAGGATGTGGCAGGGGAGAAATTTCTGCTGTGAAATCCTTCCCTTCCTTAAACCACAGGCTTTCCCTAGTGGCCCTGGCAATGAGCTGGCCAGGGCAGGGAGGCTTCTACCTCCTGGCCTCATGTATTCCTGTCCTGGGACGGCAGCCATTCACCCCCCCTCTGCCGCCTGCTGGGCCGTGGAGGTGAGTAGTTAGATCTCTGCCCTTGAAATCTCCACGTTGAGGGAGAGGAAGGCACATGATTAGACAGAAACAGCACAGAGGATCAAGTGGAGATAGGAGTGACTGTCGGGGGGTGTCTAGGAAGGCTGCCTGGAGGAGATACCCAGGTTGGGTCCTGAAGGAGGAGAGATGCTTACTGGGAGGCACTTCATATCTGGCAGGGGGACAAGGCCTAGGAGACAGCGGGTTCATTTCCCGGGAGGGCAGAGGTCATTGAGATGGTGGCCCCGCCTGTGGGTCTTAGGCTCCCACGGAGTGAAATCCTCACAGAGTAGGATCCCAGCTTTCCTGGCTCCGTGGTGATCTCTGAGGACCACCCCAGGCAGATGATATGAAAACCCAGTTGGAGAGTTGGATCTGGGTTCATACACAGGCCTGGACATTTAACTGCTGTGTGAGCTTGACCAGTCACTTAACTTCCCTGTGCTTCAGTTTCCTCATCTGTACGGGAGTGTGGGGGGGATTGCAGGCACCATGCAGAGGTGTGCTGAGATGCTGCAGTAGCACTGGCACTGAGGAAGCACTCAGCAGATGTTAGCTTCATCTCCGAGAATGCCGAGACCAGCCCCCACCTTGAGCAGGTCCTGAAGCCAAGAACCTTCCGGGCAGAAACCAAATGCCTCGTTGCTCCTTTAACTGAGAGAGATGTTTACAACTCACATATTTTTTTCTTCCAGAATTGGGTTTTATGGTAGGGAGAAGGAAGTGAAAGATGAGCAGGAGCCTCCTCGGCTTTCCCAAAGGCCCTGGGAAACCCTGAAGTGCCTGGCTCTGCTTGTTTTGAATCACCTGGTGACTTTTATCTGATCTGTGACCACAGGGATTCCAGGCAGGAGGCAGAGGCTTCTTGGGATTTCAGGAGGGTGGGAGTGGCCGCCTCTACCTACCAGTCAGAAATTTATGCAGCCAGCTTCCACTGAGCGCCGACTTTTTGCCAGGCTGAGAGTTAGAGGTGACCACTAGGATCAATTCCCACTCTTCAAGGACAGCAGAGGAGGCAGACATCATGACAAAGGAAGCAGTTTGTGCCCCGAACTTTAAGGAGAAACCCATGTAGATGGGGAAGGGACCTTTGTACCCACCTGCTTGCCCACTCTGTGTCCTGAGATCCCCCAGCCACCCTGGGAGACCAGGCTGCTCCTCCTTCTTGTGGATGAGGACCCTGAGGCTCAAGGAGGGGCCAGGACTTCCCCAAGATCCCACAAAAAGGGCTGAGCCTGAGTAGGGCCCAGAATCCTGGTCTTGATGAGTAAGTGGGACTTTGTGTGTTGGGAGCTCGTAGCTGTGTCTTCCAGGCTGAGACTAGCGCATGGAAAGACCAGACAGGTGCCGTGCTGCTGGGGAGGAGAGGCTCTTCAGTGCAGCTACAGTGTGGGGGCCGGGGGAGAGTTGGGACCAATGCAAGAGGGAGGGCTTGTGCCAACTGGACAGAGCTTGGGATGCCCTGCTTAGGTGTACAGACCTTTTGCTGTGGAGCTCTGAGTGGAGATTGGCGGGTTCAGACTTGCATGTTAGGAAAACCTTTCCATGGTAGGTTGGAGCTCAGGTTGGAGGAGAGCATGGAGGCTGGGAAAGCAGGCAGGAGGTGGCTGCAGTGACTCCACTGAGTAGGGGCAGGGTCAGCACAGGGCAGGAGCCCTGAGGTGAGTAAGGACAAACAAGGGGCGGGGGGACCCAAAAACCTGGAATTATTTTTTGGAGGGTGTTCTCCTTGTAGCTCGCTCGGAATTTGTTCCTCTGGATCAAAGAGTCAGTGTTTTTACCTGTAAGTTTTGAGAAGGTTGTGTCACAATCTGCAGAAGAAACATCCCAAGTTGTAGCAAACTGGTGACTGGTTCTTCCACCATGACCATGCACCTGTCCACACCGCACTGAGTGTTCAGCAGTTTTTGACCAAAAACAGCATGATCCCCCATGTCCCACCCTCCCTTTTCAACTGATCTCACCCCAAGTGACTTTTTTTGTTTCCTCATATGAAAAAAAGTCCTCAAAGGGAAGCATTTTGCTGATGTGGAAGAAGTGAAACAAAAAAAAATGGCAGAAGCACTAAAAGACATCAAAATTAATGAGTTCAGAAACTATTTTGAGCAGTGGAAAAAACATCTCCATAGATGTGTTGTGTCACTTTGAAGTACTTTGAAGGTGACTGAAATAAATATATGCCGGACTCAGTGGTTCAGCCTGTAATCCCAGCACTTTGGGAGACCAAGGCAAGTGGATTGCTTGAGCCCGCAGGTTCGAGATCAGCCTAGATAACTTGGTGAGACCTTGTATCTATGATAAATAAATTAAAAAATTAGCTGGGTGCGGTAGCACACACCTGTAATTTCAGCTACTCAAAAGGCTGAGGTCGAAGGATCACTGGAGGCCAGCAGATTGACACTGGGGTGGCGGTGAATGTGCCATTGCCCTCCAACCTGGGCAACAGCATGAGACTCCAACTCAAAAAAAACAAAAAAAAAAGAATAAATATACAATTTTTTAATGAATACTGGTTTTGGGGGGGTACCCCGTTGTATTTGGAGGAAGAACCAAGGCACTAGATAAAGACCAGGTGTTGGTCCTCAGGATGGGCAAGGCTTCAGGGTGAACCTGGGCTCCTCCTGGTCCCAGGCAGATAGAGGGCTGCCCCTCTTGCGGCAGTGGAGGTGGAGGTGGAGAACCAGGGAAGGGCAGGCGGACCTGCCAGTTTGGGTGAGTGGAGTTTGTAGTGCCCGTGGCTGTTGATGGTTGGGGTCAGGGAGAAAGATGGAGGTGGGGAGTGGGTGAGGACAGCCAAGCTAGGGGGAAAGATGGGGTAGAGGTGCCAGGATGGGAGTTGAGTGGGAAGAGAGGCCCGGTACCCTGTACAGCCATGGGCTATGTGGCCCCCTTGGTGGGGTGGGCGCTACATGGCCCTCCAGGTCCTGCAGACCCACCCTGGGGAGGACCCACTACCCTGAGGAAGGGGGGCAGTTAGGAACCTCTCTATTCCTCCTTCCAGGAGCGGCTCGTGGTCCCAAGTCTCTGCATCTCAGACAAGCCAGACTTCCGTTGGTCGTGGAGCCACAGAATCTGGGCAGGATGTATGGCTTTGTGGGGCAGAGGAGTGTGGGGAGCGTGAGGGGACACAGGACCTGTCCGGAAACCAGACACCATCTGTGGCTTGTCCCCTCCAGCTCGACAGGCCCCCATGACTCTGGCCTGAGATCTGGCTGCTTCCTGTCAAGTGATGAATGGGTAACGTCTGCTTATCCCACGACCAGACAAGAAGGGGGGCTGGAGCAGACCCAGCAACCAGAGCCACAGCTCTGGGCCGGAATCTATTCATTCATTCATTCACTCATGCCCTCTTCCAAGGCTGTATGAACCAAGGCAGACTTGGTTTCAAGTGTCAGTTCTGCCTGTTGCCTGCTATGTGACTGTGGAACCGTTACTTACCCTGTCTGAACTTTACTTCCTCCTCTGTCAGGGTGAACAAGGCATCTATGTGCAGCCCTAGGCACATGCCTGGTGCATACATGGTGCATGCTCTGTGGGTGGTGGCTGTCCGCATGGGTGGGACGTTCCATCCTGCTCTAGCCATGCGCTGAGTTTCTTTCTCTAGTTACTCTGTCTTGCTGTTCTAAGAAACAGGTTTCAGTAGCAACTCTCTCCACTGTGTGGACTCACTTTGGCAGGCCATGTTTCTCCTTGGAGCCTCGGTTTCCTCATCTGCAAAATGGAGATTGTGGTACTACTCAGGTTTCTTGGGAGATGTCAAATCACCCATGGATATTGGCCAATGCTGAGCTGTTCTGGTCTTGACCCTGGTGGCAGCTGGGTGTCATGAGCTGGCGTGTGTCCTTACCAAACCTGGAATCCCCATCTCTGGAGGGATGTGTTGGGCAGTCCCCCAGGCAGTGCTCCCTCTCCAGGCTGGCTGGAGGCCCCAGGTAGCAGCCATCCACCCTAGTTTTCTACTACCAGGAGCCAAGACAAGCAGAAATTGCCCCTGGTGCTGGCCCTGGTGTTGCCAGCGCCATTCACCTGGGGAGGAAAGAAAACTATGTGTGCAAGAGTGTCATGTGAGAAGCCACGGGAAGGGCCTCTTGCTTTTGTAGAAATAAACTTGAAGCTGTCCACTGGGCTGGAGGGACTGAGAGGGGGGCCCTGCTCGGAGGTACTGGGATGGATATGCCACCCAGACCAGGCTGACCTCCAAGGCCACAGTGTAGGCCTCCAGCATTCGCCAGCCCCTGGGGACCCTATAGACCTT